TTTTACCCAACCCAGAATGGACCATTTCCAACACAATCAAGTCGAGATGGAAATAGAGAAGGAATATTTCCAACCACATCCCTGCTAGAGAAAAAGACACTTAAGGAAGTTTCTTTACACTGCTTTTGCTTCATACTATCTTTATGATTTGTTTTTTCTTTGTTACTCAAGGCTTAAAGAGCTCATTGTGTACTTTATAGGGCAAGTTATTTTCAAGTTCAACTAATATTCTCAGGCCCCATCTTCAGTTGTTTGCCTGATATGGGGGGAGGAGAAGGGCCTCTTTGGATCAGCATGGGGTCAGGCTCTGCTCTGGGGCAGACCAAGCAGAAATGAAGAGCTGCCACTGCTTCTGTACACAGCATGGTAAGAACACTGGTGAGAATGTGAAGATACTGGACAGAAGGGTCACAAAAAATGACCCAGCAATGAAAAACAAACCTTGCAATAGAAGTCATCTTCTCAGCAATTTTATCAGGGAGACGACTGAAGAGGTGACCTGACTACTGAGTCAATGCTGGGTTTTAACTTTGCAGATGAGGTCATAACAAGTTCTCCTGGACAAGGACTGCATGTGTTGCAGGGCAATATGAAGAGTGTCTCTCTAAAGTGGCTGACTGCTGAGTCTTTTTCTTATTCCTGGCATCATATGGATAGTCAGTCTATGATCAGAGAGAAATATCCCTCGGGTGATACGGGGGAGAAGGCATTTGCAAAGTGAGTGTAAAGGTAAGTTCATTAATACATCTGAAGCATTCAAATGAATACTGTAAGAGAAAAAGCCCCATAGGACAATGTGTTATTATGTCTTCAGAGCAAATCTTGAACAGCATTTGGTATAAAGGACCTGGGTCTGAATAATGAATAATGGGGGAAAAGAGAAGGGAACAGGACTTTAACACATGTTCACTAAGCAAAGGGAAAAATATCCAATCATACAAATACCAACAGTACATGTACAGTGCTGGTGAATTGACACCAGGCACACAGTCTTCATACTGGAATTTCTTAGCTTTAATTAGAAGTTCTAATTAATGTTTTAAAAATAGTTTTTCTGTGTATGGCATTCTAAAGATATGAATATACACCCAGATGTGTGCTTACAATGACAGTTACTGTTTCATAAATAAATGTGCACATAAACACTTCCAAACACATCCTGCATGGTCCAGCCTCAGGAGATATGGTGGATGGTTCTCTAGCTGCCTGACATTTCAGCAGGCAGCGCTGCTGTATAAAGGAAGAACACATCTCAAAGTTTGACTCCATGGCTGATGATGCCCAATGAAACCCAGACAAGGAGGAAAAGGCAAGCCAGAATTTGTCCTTTTTCCAGAGTCCTCAACCCTAAGAGAGGGTTTTCCCCTTTTCCTCTGCAGAACCATGGGGTTCCCCCATTTCTACAGGGAAGGAAGCTTCTCCTCATCCTCACTGGAGTCGATGTGACAACCATGAAAGGATCAATTTGCACAAGGCCATTGCTGCACCAGTACTGGTGAACGGTGCCTCAGTGAAGGCGAGTCTGAGCATATGGCAGCTGCACCCTGGCAGGTTCGGGAGAACACTGACGACTTCTTGTGAAGCTGCTTGCGCATGGATCATCCCCTCCTCATTGCTTCTGCAGTGTCAGCAAGATTCAGCTGAAATTTCTCAGTAAATTTTTTTCTTTATGTTGCCCTGCTGTTCAGCACTTTTAACTCTTCAGCAATGGCAGCCTTCAGTTACCCTCTGGGATTCAGAAACATCAATGAGTCAACCTTTAGGAGACAGACAGGGATGCTGGCCAAGGACCACCCTTACTTCCTCCTAGACTCAGTGTCCTAGGTCGTGCCTGTTTCTATACACAGCAACCATACCATGCTTGCCACTGTAATGTCTGGGATCAAGCCTATCCTTTAACCCACACCAATTTATGCCTGGTCACCTCACAAGTGTATTTTGGGAACAGACGTAGTATTCATTATTGCTCCACCTATGCCTTGATTTTCATGCAAAGGAAATGTGGGAGCCAGGGCAGAAGGCAGCTGTAGGGAGGCATGGTGCTCTCTAAGAGGCTCCTCTGATCTGAAGAGGCAGGAGCCCGGGATCACAGCCCAGGGTGCAAAGCGCATCGCACCATAGTCTGAAGTCAAGCTATGAGCTTAAAGCCTCTAAGTTTTCCTGGCAGCTCCAGGAAACTACAGAGGAACCCAAAGAACATGTCACCTGCAAAGGGAAGGTCATCGACAGCAGACGTCCTGCCCCAACTCACCTGCCTTCTCACAAGAGCTGGATTTCTTCTCATTCCCAATACCTTCCCAAAGTTTACCACAGGGCTGCAGAGCCAGCTTTTGCCTCCTGAGGCACATAGCTGCTTTTAAGTATTATGTCATTAATCTCTTGATCAACAAGTGTGTAACTGCTCAACATCTCTTGGAAACTTATAATTCACATTTCTAATAAATCTTTAAAACTATGTGGAACATCACACACATTAATACTTACCTTTAAAAATACTTCCAGTGCAGATAGCAATCTGATTCAGAAGGATTTTTGCGGCTGTAGGCTTGAAGAGGAAATTATTAATTTAGGGCCTTATGGTACCCTCAGAACACATTTATCAGTTTTTATGATTTCTTAAAAATGTTAATACAAAAGCAGGCATGTGGAACTCTAATTGGAGAGTAGCGGAGCCTCGCCACACTCAATAAAACCTCTCACGCGTGCAGTGTAACTGAAGTAATACACAGAGAGCCCTTCCTGCAAATTCCTCCCTGCAGATTCCTACCAAAACCAGAAAGACTAATTTAACTTTTCCCAACACACCATGAATGTGGGTTGACCAATCTGTAATTAGAATGGGTGTGTTTTGTGAATTAATTTGTTGTTACAATTAGATCTGGTTCTAAAGACAAAATACAGTTATAAGTATTTTTACCAGTGGGTTTTTTTTCTCTTTCAAAGCTAAGCCTAGAAAAAAAAAGTCTGACAAACGTTGAGACAAATTTTCTAACCTCAGTTCCTCAGTAGTAGTATTTATACAACTAGAAGTTCACTGCACAAGGCAATGCAGGAAAGAACAGCAAACACAGGAAGGGAGCACAGGAAAGGGAAATAATGGATTTCAATGTTTTGGTGGAGACATTACATCATTTGCTTTGCAATGTATCTGTATTTCACAGCCAGAATAATATCAGCCAGCTCCAAGATAAGGAACACATTTACTTAGAGAATAAATCTAGTTCAGATTTCATCATAATGTCAATATTTGCCGTATTAATACCACAGTTCCTCTCAGTTAATACTCAGTAGCGAATATGTTGTGTGCAAAGAGAAAAAGATCTTCCAAATGAGCTGTGCATATAATCTGGGAATTGCCAGGTTTGGAACATGATTCGCTCCTCTTGTGGAGGGTTCCTTCATTGCTGGGTGCAAGGAGAAAGGAATAGGTCTTCAACTGGCAGAAACCAGTTGACTTCCACTGCACAGGGCTTTGGTTTTTTTTTGGTTTTTTGGGTTTTTTTCTCAAGATTTTAGTACCAAACCTGACAACTAGGACAAATTATCAGGCTCCTGTCAAAAACTGCAGACAGTCCAGTCTAGCCATTGCAGGCCATTGCAGCAGACCTTACGCAAAGACGCCTCCCTGGCCCATGGCAAGGTGTGGACGGGTGGGAGGCCAGGCCCTGGTGACCAGGGCGTTGGGGTTGGGCTCTGGCTGCAGCTGCTTGGGCAGTCATTGCTGAAGGCAGAGGGGCAGCAGCCAGTGAAGATGCTACATGGACGTTGCAGATGGAATGCGTGGCTTTGGCCAGCACTGAAATCTTGAACCCCTTGACTAGGTATAGGTTTATAGCTCATTAAATTTGGGTGGAAGGTGGAGAGGGACTTCCTTAAACATAACCCTAAGAAATACAAGTTTCTATAGGCCCAAGGAGCAATTTGCCAACTGCTACTCTGCTAAGCCCAAAATAAACAGATGACTTCACGGTTGGCTGTTTGCACTACATTTTCTATGCATTTATTGCAATGCATACTGTCAAGGGCAGCTGTGTGTCTCTTGAAAGGAAGCACATTTCTGCAGTACACTCAATTATGAACACATGAAGTAGTCAGCAGTAACATCACCACCACCACCCCCCCCAAAGCTCACGTGTGGTGTGTGGGTTTGTCCTATTGTTTCTGCTCTCCCTAATATACACATAAATGACTCAGAGAATTCGTAACCCATTATTCAGCAGCAGCTCCCCCCATAGCCCTTGAAGAGGTGAATGAAGCATGCCTCCTGACGCTGCATTTACCATTGCCTGGTGATGACTTTGTGATTGATGACTCACAGATCTGCTCCAAGGGAGTAACCTCCCCTTTGTGAACCCTCCATTTGCATCTCCATTGTGCCCCTGCCTGGAGCTTGCCATCTGTGCCTCCAGCGTTCTTCCACTCACATAGGTCTCTGCATAAACCTGCCCTCCTCATGCTAGTCAAGTGGACCTCACTGACAACTATGGTGATCAAAGATACTGCCCACCACATGACTGGCTGTCCTTCAGATCTTGGTGTTTTGCAGGAATCAGAAGCTATGACTAGCTGGCTTAGGCTACCGTTCCCTTATCTGTTCTGTCAGACGTGTCATGTGTGGCCCAGCGTGGCAATCCCCATGCTGTGCAGTGAGCTCAGGACATGCAGAGCCGGTCCCCAGACCACCATCCTCAGCAATGTACAGAAACAAACAGAACTGTCATAATTCACAGGAGAACAAAGGCCCATCATTTTCTGCCTGAATTGAACATTTCTTTGCAAAGTTCCATGACTGACCAAGTAGAAAATAATCCAGATGATTCTGTTTATTGTTACATCAGTTAATTTTCCTTATTTCAAAATTGTCCTTCATTTCAGTAAGGTTCCTAGCAATGCAAAAGTCATTCACCTTTATTCCGATTAACCATGGTAAGTGCATACGTTTAGCAGAGAAGTGTTCCTTTCTGCCCCAAAATTAATTCTGAATCTGTATAATACTCTCCGTGAACAAACAATGTTTTTCTTAGCTTTATAGAATGCACCTCCCCTCTACAGAAAAGATGGTTACTGACAGCACAAGAGATGATACAGAACAAAATTAAATGTAACATTCAAAACAATAATGAGTATTTCTACATATTAACGTTCATACCAAGCTTAAAATTAGTACTATTTGGATCACAGACCACTATTGAATGCTATGGCAAAGAAATTATCTAACCAATGGTAATTACCATTTAAAAATAGTTAACAGTGTGAATTGGAAGATTTAATGTGTTTTCTTCTTTTAATGTACAGCCCCATTCCCAGAATTTCACTGGACTGTGCGGACAGACCAACTGTCAAAGCTGTCTATCAAGGCTGAATTAGATGAAAACAAACAATACAGGCTTTGTGGTTCAGCTGAAGCAGCAGCTTCAAAAGTTTCCATTTTTCATCCGAGGGCACTGTGGGAGCATTGTCTTCCCCCTCTCTGAAAAGAGAATGGAACAATTATGTTACTGAAATTCCTCTGCAGTGGGTCTGAAAGACTGTTTATGTCCAGCCAGGGAGACAGGGAAAACTAAAAGCAGGGATTTCACGACAGCAGGTGGGGGCAGTTTCAGGGTATACACTTCAGTGACATAATGGTCCTGATTCTTCTCTTTCAGGGTAAAGCCAGTGCTGGAAGATTTACTAGCAATGGAGGAAATGGCAATAAAAATGCAAAGTTAAATGCAGTGGTAAAATTATTAAGTTGAAATAAAGCTTTACAATTGGCTTTCTGAATCAATCAGGTAGTTGATTCTAATGTGGAGAGCATGGTAGGAAACTACAAAGGAAAATATACTAGTCACAGAGAATTTTTTACCATTTACCATTTTAGGGCCCTACCAAACGAAGTGCTGAGTACGCAGCTCTCATGGGAGTCAGGTGGGCTCAGGAGATAGAAAGCAATCATCCAATTTGTCCTTCCTAATAGCAGTAATATTCTTATTCATTAGCAGCAGAGAAAAATCAATACTTGGTTTCATGCAAACACATATTCATGTGCTTCAGCATAACCTTAGGAAATCAGCTGCTCAGGTTGTCACAGTGCTCTCAGTTCAGAAGCGGCAGGTATAAGAGTGCCGAATCACTTCATTCTGTTGTACTAATAATCTCATTTTTTCCTGAGGTTATTTTAGTGCCAACTATAGCTCAGCGCGCACACACAAACAAACTGTAAATGCTTGGGTAAAAATGGTCACCTGGGGCTACAACTGCTTGCAGGGTCAACACGTCTCTAGGGAGTTCCCACTTTTTTTCTTAAAAAGGAAGGGAGTGTAGAGGCTGTCAGTCACCAGCAGTGCTGTTAAGAAGTCAGTGTCTACCCACGACACAACCTGTGCCGTGATTTCCACGTGCTCCCTGGTTATCATCCAATACCCCCAAAAGTCATGATGTCTGGCAGCAGGACCATTTGACAGTGAACTTGAAGAACTTTCTACCAGCTGCCTTCTAAGGGAGGCTGTAAGCTCTTCAGAGAGCAGCTGGTTTCAGTCACAGAGCAGCTGGTTTGAGCCACAGTTACACTTTATGTAATAACACAGAGGATTCCCAGTTCTTCCTGGGGTTTGGTATGAAGGTGTAACAAAAAAGAAAAAATGTAATAATAAGTTATTCTCCATCTCTGGAAAAACTCTTGGCATGTTTCTCAGTGGGCTACGGATATGAGTATACAGGGACCAACACCCTGCCTGAAGTGAACAGAAAGGTTCCTCTTGCATGGACAGAAGCTACTGGATCAGGGAATTAGACTGAAAAATCTGAGTGAGTAAGCTCAAAAGAAACCCAAAACTTTGTGTTCTTAAGGTTCCGTGTAGGCAAACTAACGCTGTGACACAGTGACACTTTCTCAATCTCAATTAGTGCTAAACTAATTAACAAAACTGTTTTATACACTGCAGTGAGTAGTATCTCTCTTCTTTCTTGGATAATCCCTAGTGTGATGTAAGGGTGATTGAGTATCTAATTACTCCTTAATTGAATGCACATTTTGTACTTCTTTTACTAGTTCAAGCTTAATGCTTTTGGTCCAAAAATCAAAGTCAGTGAAATTAAGTTGAACTGGGATTTGGCAGCTATTGTATTAATGGATTACTTTTGGAAAGGAGCCTAATTACGAGCCAGTCTGAAGATTTCAGTTGTGTTTGCTATAGAAATACTTAGCGTATTCTGACAAAAGACTGATGGTATATATTGGTAGTATTGCTATTCATCTTTACCCTTTATTCTTGTTTAAGAGTAATTTTTCTACCATGCTAAATTAATAGCATTGTTCCATAATATATGTGGTCAAGTAACACACTATTCACGCTAAAGATTTATGTAGATCTGAAGATACCTACTTGTCTTACTCTTCTGAAAAGTTTTTGGAAATGTAATATTTGAGCTAAAATTGTACAAATGGGTGTGTGTATTATAATCAGAAAATTGCCTAGATGCCTTGCTTGTTTATAGATTGTATTTCTGCCTCCGAAATTTCCTTTGCTTGGGTTGAGTCCTATATAGAGAGTCCAACTGCTTCTGGTGGAGTCCTCTACAGACCAGGCAACCATTTCCAAAGAAAAGCTTCAGGATCAGTGCCAAAAAGTGTAAATACCTGGGAAATCTGAGAGCTATTATCACAATACCCATGGTTTAAAAAAAGAGAAATATTAACAAGGTCAATAAAAATTCAGAAATCATCCTCATAATGTAGAAAAATCATTATGTTTCCAACAATATTTATTTCTAATTCTTTCATATAATAACTGTATGTACTTAGAATCCTCACAGAGAATAAATTTTCTTGTACAAAACTGGGATAAATGCAAGACTGTAACTTTATCTCAGAAACAGGGAGCAGTGGCAGGAGCAAAGATAGGGCCAAGCTGGTATATTTTTAAGAACCAAAGGTCCCAGTGTTCCCATAGCAATAGACAGAACATATTTAAAAGAGAAGATATACGAAAACTTCAGTGAAAAGGGTTATTTTTTAAAGTCTTCTGAAAGTGTTGAGAGAGTGCAAATAAACAGACTATGGAGAAATGAAATAGGATGGCCCCAATAATATGCCTTTCCATCTGACAGGAAGGAAATAAGAACACCACTGCAGCAGCCGTAGGTCAGGATCACTACATAAGATCAAAAACTTTCTTCTGCTGCTTAAAAGTAGTCAATCTGCTTTCTGTAGAGCTTTTCCACCTCTTTTGTCTTACCTTATTCCTTACCATTAGTGTCTCACACAATGTCTCTTTTTTTCCTTATAGAACCATCTTGCCTTCTCCTCCTTAACACTAGGTTAAACCAAAACATTTAAGAGTTTAAAAAAAAACAAAGGTAAAAACCACTTTAACACTGACTACGCATTACCATTATCTTATACCTTCCTAAAAACAGCACCTGAAAGTATGGTCACGCATGGATTCAGAGTGTCTCAGAAAAGAGAACTACCTACCTTATGAATCCTTATCTTTCCTGAAACACTTTGCATTCCTTCCATGAAAAGGTCACAATTTATTAGGTCTACATCTAGTTCTGTGGGCATTTAACAACATCTAGCTAACTAAAGTGTACCTTTGTTTCTCTTGAGCTCTTGGGATGCACAAAAATCTTTTAAAAATTACAGTAAGTTTTGCTTTCTAGCACTGCTCTGTCATAAACTGTGGTATTAGTCAAAAAATTTGCTAACAACAGCCACTGCTGGTATTCTCTTCCTTGAGTAACAATTAGCAGTCGTAAAAACATTTTCAGTAACCCAAATAACTTTGTTGGTTTTGTTTGCTATTTATTTTCAAAACATTGCTGTCTGCTTAGCAAGAGTTTGTTTGCATATATTCATTGCATTGTTTATATCCATATGAAATAATTAGAATTACAAATTCCAATAAGAGTAAGGATCTGTGACCACCTGGATCTTCAGTTTCAATGAAGTAATAATGTGCTGCTTAAAACTCTTTGCGTGATTTCATCTCAGTAAAACGGAGCATGCTCCCACTGCCTAACATGTATAACATTGCTGAAGGAGGAATGCATATTGTAGGCTTTCTTCTCTGCCTGTGGTCAGACACATGTACCTGTATGTCCTTCTAATATCCTTGACATTTGAGAGCTGTTACATTACTATATTTCACATGTACTAAGCTGGAGTCTCTATATTTTAAAAAATAGGTGTAGTTTTATCAAAGATGATTTAAGCTTCCTACTATTTTGCCTCACCACTAATTTGCAGCGTTTTCCTCATAAGTGAAAATAACATGGCAGAGTTTCAGTGTGTGTTCAGACTCTAGCTTTTGTGTTGAAATTGCCAATAAACATGCTGTGAGGGTGTTTTTTATGACAGGCACTCCCGGCTACATTATCACTTCCAAAGTAGCAGTGTACAAACCATACATGGTTTATGGTAAGCAGCTGGAAATTACACTCTCAAAATGCTTTTCATAAAAAAGCTGATGATAACAGTGCATTGTGGATAGCAAATAATGTGTGATGCTGATAGAAAGTCACAGGTCAAGAAATTTGGGAGCCCTTGTCAGCATGAAGTATCTTATTTGAAGCATAAGCAGGGGTCTGATTCCTAGGCTACCTTATGATTTTTTTAGCTTTGAAAAGGAAGCACAACGGTTTGTTTCTTCTTTGCTTCTTCTTTATGTGCTAAGGAATTTTGACTGTTTTCCATTCCTCCAATATTTGTGCATTTCTAAGAGCTCAGTAAAGGATTGAACAAGGACAATTACAACATGGTACTCATCCTGGAAACAGTTACAACTCAAAATGGTTTGATCACTCCCTATACTGATCCTCTGGCTTGGACACAGCATAAATTCCTACTACAGCAGTGACCAGTCTATGACTCTTGGGCTGCCTGTGGCTACCAAATCCAAATCCCTAAATTGTGGCTCCTGTGTCAGAGGTATGTCACACAAGCAACAAAAGTGTTTTGCTACTCGCTAATTTGAATCCTCAGCAGTGGGAAAATAAGTTAGGCTGACATTACAGGGTTCACTTACAATCTCAGTGCATACCCCATTCCCTGCTATTATAACAAAGTAGTGAGAAGCAACATGAAAAGGCACCGTCTTTCAGCCATTCTTGAAGCTCTTGGTTCCCTGAATGCTCCAAAAGTTTTCATATGTTTCTGGTAGATCTGCAATTATGCTTGTGGCTCACAAGCCAAAGGTGTTTGGCCCTCTGTCCTACAGTCACACACTCAAACGTAAGCACATTCTCAAGTACTCTGAAGTGGCGGCAGTGTGTTGGGCACTATACATAAGCTCTTAAAAACAGAAGAACAATAGTCAGTTTTGTTGATAACAAGAAGTTGAGTTTCTTTCGAAGTCTGAAACTTAACAATTAAACCAACCACCTTTTAAGCACAAAACCTGGTTTTTTTGTGTCATGGAGACAAACAATGACCAATGAAAAACCACTTGCCGAGAAGCAGCATAAATACTTGTATTTCATCAAATC